TAAGAACCAAGAGAGATTATGTAAAGGTGCAAATTTCCAATGATGAATGTCATTATATTGTATACCTAAAATGTACCAATAAAATAAATTTTTTTTAGAAGTGGGGAAAAAAGTCTTTAGTATTCAGTTTTGAAACTTGTCAGTTTAGTTATAATTTTAAAATAGTATTTCCTTTTTGAAGTATTAAAATGTGATTGTTGTGGTGAAATATAAGCCTTAGTAAATAAATCATTTAGCTAGAAAAATTTTCACTTCACTGAACAGATCTAATATTTTATATACCTAACTAGTATAATCAAAGTAGGACTAGACTGGCGATGAGTATTTTGTTATTTTTTATTTCCTAGTGTTTTGTGCTTGCCATGACATCTGGTCAAATGTGGAACCATATAAGAGGACCACCATATGCTCATAAGAATCCCCACACAGGACATGTGGTAAGAAAAGTCTGGGATTTGTTTTCATTTTATACCAAAATTTACTTAATGATTGTTATTATGTGAGACCAGTGCCAGCATATGAAGGAACTAGATGTAGTTTTGATTTTTCACTTTCTCTGTGTTATCTGAAAAGACCATCCATGCAGTGCTCCTAAAAGTGGGAAGTTCCTTAACCCATTTGGTGAGTCATTTTGACTAAGCTAGTTAAATATGAAAGTCAGCCTTCAACTAAATAGAAAAATTAATCAAATACTTGAGCATCTACTGTTTGTAGGCACCTGCTGGGTTTTATCAGATATATTGATAAACAAAAACATAATCCTTGTTTTATGGAGTCTAATTATTTTATCTTATGGTCTTCTACAAATATTAGTTTTTTCATCTGTTTTGTTGCTGAGAACATAATATAAGTACAATGAAAAAACATAATACAGAAATACTTTTATAGTAATCAAAAGTATTTACTGATAATGCTCAAAATATGTTATATGCTTACACACATCAGGTGAATTAATAATTTCATAGGGTTTTAAATAGCCCATTTTAGGGTTAGGATACTAGAATTTAATTTATATTTAATAAATCAATTTTTTCTCCCCCTGCAGAATTATATCCATGGAAGCAGTCAAGCCCAGTTTGTAGCTGAAACACACATTGTTCTTCTGTTCAGTATCCTTTTTACAATAATTCTTGATTGCTGCATTTTAATTTGCCTGTTTTCTCACAATCTAGTATTCTTTCTACAGCCTTTGGTTGGGATACTGTCCTAATGTAGGTCAAAATATGCTTCAGAAATGATATTACTGTTTCAGCCATCTTAGCCCAGTTACCTAGAGACCCCAACAACAGACCTGCAGCCTGATAAAGCAGGGTTTATTGGCCCGTGGATATGAGAATCTGCTTATCTGAGGAAGCATGGGATATCTTTTTACCAAAAACAGGTAGAGTTTTTATAAGGATTTGAGGTAAAGGTGGAGTTTAGGTAACATTTAAATGAAGCATTGTTTTGATAAGCAAAGCAAGGGACTGCAGTATAGTTCAACAGTAGAGTTCTTGCCTAGCATGTATACTGCCCTGAATTTTGCCCCAGCACTGCAAAATAAAAAAAAGGAAGAGAGGGGAGAAGGCTGAGCATAAAAGGTTCAATATTAGGTCTAGACGTTGAGGTTTTGTTTTTTTTTTTTCTGATACCAGGGATCTAACTCAGGACCTTGTACCTGCGAGGCAGGCATGGTGCCACTGAGCTACATCCCGAGCCCCATTGAGGTTTTAAAATATATCCTAGCCGGGGATTCAGCTCAGTGGTTCTGCTGCCTGCCTCGCAAGCGCAAAGTCCCGAGTTCGATCCCTGGTACCAATAAATAAATGAATGAATGAATAAAAAAAGATCCAAGATTCTATTTCTTTGGAAACCACAAACTTAAATAAATGTGAGAATTTTGTCTTCAAACTCCTTGTTTGTTTTTTGTTTTGTTTTGTTTGTTTTTTTGGTACCGGGGATCGAACTCGGGTCCTTGCACTTGCACAGCAAGCGGTGAAACCACTGAGCTAAATCCCCAGCCCATAAACTCCTTGTTTGAAGTGGAACATTTTGGATATAAATTAAGATTACTGAGAATTTAAAAAAAGATTACTGAGAAGTTACAATTTTTCTCTTTTTTATTAATATATATTTGCAATAAATAATAATTACATTCATCTTGGGGAATTGGTACATATATATACTGGATCTTGAGCATTTTTATATCCCCTTCTGCCTTTGTACCCCGCCCCCATCTCCTTCTCCAGATTCCCTTCCCTTCTGTTTTTAAACTGAGTAACTTGGATCCTCCACACAAGTATGGGATGTTTCATACTTACTGATAAAATTTTAAACAGCTTCTGATTTCAGTGAACAATATTCTCTGTTGAGTCAGAAAGCAGTAGTTTATCAAAGACACAGAGATTTGATATTTTTAAGCTGCTCCATGTCCTAGGGAGAAATATTATTTCCTGTAAACATTGCAGCTGCTTTACATATGTGTTGTTATATCCCCTTGAATGGCAAGGCAGATTTTTATTTTCATAGCCCAAGCCAGTTTTTATATTTTGACATTTAAAAAGTGGATTCCTCTTTATGCTGGAAGGATAGATAAGAATTACATTAGCTAGGTGTTGTGACACATGCCTGTAAGCCCAGCATTTGGGAGACTGAGGCATAAGAATTGCTGTGTTTGAGGCCAGCCTTTGCTAAACTACATAGTGAGACCTTGTTTCAAAAAAACAAGAAAGGGCCAAGGATTTAGCTCAGTGGTTCCACTGCCTGCCTTGCAAGTGCAAGGTCCAGAGTTCAATCCCTGTGGTACCAAAAAAAAAAAAAAAGAGTGATGTCAGATAGACTGAAATCAAAATTTCATAATACAGGTTGAGCATCCCTAATGTGAAAATTCAAAATATCAAATGCTCTGAAATACAAAACATTTTTATTAGTATGTTTGTGGTACATAATGATTATGTTCCTCATGGGCAGTAGGTACATGTGCATAACACATTTTAATTATTTTTATCCCTTTCCCCTTCCCTCCCTTCCACATTTTGGTCCCCTTTCCATATGCAAAAGATCTATCTTGCTATTTCCTATTAACTATTTTTTTTTTTTTGGTACCAGGGATCGAACTCAGGACCTTGCGCTTGCAAGGCAGGCACCAGAACCACTGAGCTAAATCCCCAGCCCTATTAACTATCTTTTATTTTACTCTTTATATTTTGGGTTTCTAATGTAAGAGAAACCATATGTTTAAGCATGTGTATCTGATTTATTTTGCTTAACATTATGGTCTCATGGTACATTCATTTTCCTACAAATGCCTCAAGTTTATCCTTCTTAATGGCAGAATAGTACTCTATTGTATGTAAATACCACATTTTCTTTATAAATTCATCTGTTGATGGACATATAGGCTGCTTCCAAGATTTAGCTATTGTGAACTGTGCTCCTATGAGCATGTATGTATCACTGTAATAGGGTGTCTTGAACTCTAGGGAAGATGCCTAAAAGAGGAATACCTGGGTCAAATGGAATTTCTAGCTTTAGATTTTTTATTTCCATAATGGTTTGTTGTTTATATTCCCACCAATAATGTAGAAGCGTTCCTTTTTCCTCACAACCTAGCCAGCATATGTTATTATTTGATTTCTTGATTATAGCCATTCTTTCTGGAGTAAAGTGGAATCACACTGTTGTTTCATTTGCATTTCTCTAATGGCCATTGACATTAAACATTTTTTCATGTATTTATTGTCCATTTGTACTTCTAAGAAGTATCTACTCATTTCAGTTGCCCATTTTTCAGTTGGGCCTTTTATTTTGAAGGTTCTAATTTTTCTTCGTTCTTTATATATTTTACATATTATTCATCTATCTGAAGAATAGCTGGCAAAATTTTTTTCCCGTTCTGTAATTTGTCTCTTTGTTCTGTTGGTTGTTTCCTTTACTGTACAGAAGGAGGTTTTTAATTTGATATGATCCCATATGTTGATTTTTGGTGTTATCTCCTGTGCAATTGGGGTTCTGTTCAGAAAGTACAGTACTTGCCTAAGCCTATGTCTTCAAGAATTTTACCTATTTTATCTTCCATCAGAGTAAGTGTTCTTGTTTTCATATTTAGAGCTTTGATCCATTTTGATTTTAGTTTACTGTTTGGTGAGAGATATTGGTCTAAATTCAATCTTATGAGTGTGGACAGCAAAGTAGCTGAATGTGATTGGAGTTGTTTCTGTATCTTCTATTCTGTTCCACTGATGCACATGTTTGTTTTTTGCCAATACCATATTATTTTTATAACTATAGCTTTGAATGTAACTTGAAGTCCAGAACTGTGATTTCTCCTGCCTTACTCTTGCCCAGGATTGCTTTTACTATTCTAGGTCTCTTCTGGTTCCATATGAATTTTAGGATTGTTTAGTCCTGGGAGGAATGCTATTAGTATTTTGTTTGGGATTCTGTTAAATCTGTGTATCAGTTTTGAAAATATGGTCATTTTGACTCTTTATTTGTTTTGCCTAACAAGGAACAGGGAGTATCTTTCCATTTTCTGATATCTTTGATCTCTTTTTTCAGAGTACTATTATTTTCATTGTAGAGGTCTTTCAGTTCCTTGGCTCAGTTATTTCTTAGATATTTAATTTTTCTTGATGCTATTGTGAAAGATATTGTTTCCCTAATTTCTTTTTTTGTGAGTTTATTAGTGTATAAGAACACTGTTAATTTTTGTGTCACCAAATTTGGTTATTAATTCTAGGAGTCTTTTGGTGGAATTTTTTTGGTCTTCTATGTAGAGGATCATGTCATCCTCAAATAATAATAATTTGACTTCTTGCTTTCCTATACATATCTCTTTTTTTTTTGAGACAAGATCTCATTATGTAGTTCAGGTTGGCCTCGAATTCACAGTGATCCTCGTGCCTCAGCCTCCCAAGTGGTGCAATTACAGCCATGTACCACCACGCCCACCACATATTCCTTTTATTTCTTTCTTTTGCTTGATTGCTCTGGCTAATGTTTCAAGAACTATATTGAACAGTAGTGGTGATAGAAGACATTCTTTCATTTTAAAGGAAAAGTATTCAGCTTCTCCCTGTTTAATATGATATTGGCCATTCCTTTGTCACCTGATTAAGATAAGGTCTTTCTATACCTATTTTGGTCTGTTTGTTTGTTTGTCTGTTTGAGACAGGGTTTTGCTATGTGGTTTAGACAGGCCTTGAACTCACTATGTAGCCCAGGCTGGCCTTTAGCTCATGGTGATCCTCCTGCCTCAGCCTCCCAAGTGCTGGGATTACAGGCATGTGCTACCATGCCCCGTTGGTTTTAACTTTTTTATTAATACATGTTTGCAGTACATAATGATCTCATTTATCATGAGCAATTTGTGTATGTGTGTATATATATATAAAATACATCTTAATTATTTTATGTTCCCTTCCTCTCCCCTTCTTCACCTTCCCATTTGCAAAAGCACTATTTTTATTTTTTCTTTAAATCCCTTTTCCCTTCCTTCTCTCCCTCTCCCCCATCTCTTCTTCCCTTTCCTATTTGAAAATGTTCTCCCTGCTTCTTAATACAGAGGTGCCTCAGTTCATGAACTTAATTCTTTCCCCAATTCTGGTCACAAACAAAATTGAACAAGAATGGAATCAAATTCAGTAATTAGGCTCAGTGTTGACCTTATGGGGAAATTTTACTCAGTTCTCATATCTATCATTGAGATGTATCTGTCATTTGTTTTGCTCTTTGTTTATATTTTGGGTTTCTCACACAAAGTAATATATTTAAACTTGTGTATCTGTTTTATTTTACTTAAGATTATGGTCCCAAGGTGCATCCATTGATATTTTATTACCTCCATTATCTGTTTATATTTTCTGAGCCTGATGAGCACCTCATGGATGTTTTTTTTTTGGTACTGGGGATCGAACTCAGGTCCTTGCGCTTGTGTAGCAGGCGGCGAAACCACTGAGCTAAATCCCCAGCCCCATTGATGTGTTTTTGAATCTCTTCTGTTATCCTTTTGAATAATTCACATGTGTAGCTTTTTCTTTCCTCCCTGTCAATCCCCCATGGATTGGCTTTGGGGGAGTTGGGAGTTTTGGGAGGTACTTTGTTGCCTTGTCTTCTCATGTTTTTGTGG